TCAACCAGGCCTAAAAAGGAAAAAACTGCTGGCAGGTACACTTGCTCCTTGCTAGCAAATACAACAAAATTACAATTAACAAAACCTTCAAGCTACCAAAATTTGTGAGAAAAGGATAAGAAAGCAATAAAAATGACCAAATTACAATTAACCAAGATCCTATCAGAGTTTTGGGGTTAGTCACAAGTAACTTTAGGAATGTGGCATATGATCAGCACATGTCCCATTGCTTATATACCCTTCATGCCTCCAGAGTTGCATAATAAAACGTTTAAAAATAAAATGACAACGAAGAATATCAGGTTGTAAATATTTATATTTCTCTCATTCACATACAATGTTGTATGAGACACTAGTTTTAATATGTATCCATAGGATTAATACTCATATGGAGTATAATGTGGAAAAGTGCAGAACTAAAGAAATAAGTCTATTTGGAAACAAAAGCACACATTTCTTAGGATTTAAAAATATTGCACATAATAAGGTTGCACAGAAATTACTGGCTGGTTTTACAAACAGAATGAGGTATTAGTCAATCTCTAGATAAAGATGAATACAAAGAAGAGGAACTTCACACACACACACACAAAAACAACACATAAATCTATATTAAGATCTACAGTGCCAACAACTAAAAAAGAAATGTGAAAAGATGGTTAAGTAGCTATGATTTCAACACTACAAAATCATTTTTAGCCAGGAACCACACACGTAACAATCTCTTAGCAATATTTCATAAATTTTCAACTTTTTTCCAGCCTAAATGACTATGAGCAATAAAATCATTTCCTTTACCCAATTCTACTGTAGAAAGTCACAGTTCTGTGGTAAATGTCAAACCATCCCTTTCTAAAGCTTTCAGTGGCAATTAACCAAGATACTGTTCTCCTTTGCTGAATGACTCAATTATATAGTTTCACGTACATTTTGTAACCCAAGTTACAGATGCTATAGAACATGCAATTTTAAATTCATAAAGCTTTCACTGCAAAGATCATTCAAGTTCACACAATTTAAATCCACAATAACTTTTAAAGTTTCATCTTTAAATAAGTATAAGGTAAATGCTATCTTTTCTTGGTAATAAAACTGGCCACATTAATGAGCCCAAGGGCAGGTAGAGAAAAAGGACTAGGCAGAATTATATGTTGTTGGTTTTTTTTTAAGAAACTTTTCTAATCAGGAAAATTAATAATTAGCATTTTGTCTACTAGTTGAATGTTGTGGAATTTTTCAAAAACAGCTTAAATATATTTAATAGCTATATCAAGTTGTTTAAAGTAAGTGAAATCATGCCTTTGTCAAAAAAGTTCACAGAAGATTGTTTTTACATCAAAGATACTGAAGAAGAGTCAACTAGGTGAACTTAGTAAAAATGGAAAAAGAATGAACTACTGTCCTGAACAGTCGGTGTATGTAGTAACCATATTTCCTCTTCGTTGAGTGACAGTCCTGCAGTGCTTGCTAGATCCATGGAATCTATTTTCAGTTTGTACTGTACGCCGATTGGTGGTGTCAAAACCACTAAAAGAAAACATTTTCTCCATATCTTCAAACATGTCATCAAATAGTCCGCCTCCAAAAGAAAATTCCTGGAAATGATGCCTTTGTCTACCGGAACCATCCTGGTGTGTTTGGAAATGTTTTTCAAAATGCTTCTTGGACCGAGTGTTTTGGTTTTGACCAAAAAAGCCAAAGTCTTTAAATAAGTCATCAAAATTGAAGTTAAATGGTTGCTCAAAAGGACTTCCACTGCCTCTTTGTCCTTTTCCATTAGTAAAAGCACTATGTCCAAGTGCATCATACTCTTTTCGCCTATTAGCATCTGAGAGTGTTTCATATGCTGAAAGAGACACAAATACTTTAGTAACTGAAGGTAAAATATTCACAACTACATATATTTAAATATCTTCAAATATGTGAATTTGACTGTTATTTCAAAGAATGTCCTATCACAATTAAAAGCAAAGCATTACAAACATAAGCATTAAGTTAAAATCAGTTTTAAAATAATGCAGAGACTTTGCCATGTTCATTATTGTATTATCAGCAATTGGCACAATGCCACATCTAGTAAATACCCAATAAATATTTATTAAATGAATGTTACCATCACTATAAATAAACGTGGGCAACAATTATAAAGTTATTTAATCTTCATATTAATTGTATGAAAACTACTTGTATCAATGATTAAATAGTCTAATATAACCAATTAACAGGAGTAAGATTTTTCACTTCACTAGTTGCAGTAAATGTTTAATTCTAAATCACTACTCAATTACCTCCACCCATCAATAATTACTGAATGCTTAGAAGGTGGAATCTGTTTTAGAACTAGACATAAGCCAAAATTTGTTTCAACTTTAAAGACAAATATGGCTTTGAAACATAGATCAAGTGAAGAAGAAAATAAACAAGGCATTTTAAGAGTCTTATTATTTTTTCTATTTAATCTGCATAGTAGAATATTGTGTTTGATAAGTTAGTTGATAAGAATTTTGGGTATCTAAAATTCTTTTTTTCATAGAAATAACTGATATTATGATAGAATTAGGTAATACATTTTAACATTTTTAGATCTGTATACTAATAAGATTATCTCATATCATTTATCAATTTATTCAGGAATCAAAGCATCTGTTTTAAGAAATCTCAGAGAATCTCACAATATTTATATGTAAATCCCACTTCTCCCATCTCACAAAACCTTCAAATACATATACACTGCTTAGCTGTCATTTTCCTTACTAGTTCATACCATGAGACCTCAGAGATAGTCATTTATTTACCTTCTGCAATCTCTCTGAATTTTGCTTCAGCATCAGGGCTCTTATTTTTGTCAGGGTGGTACTTCATGGCCAACTTGTGAAAGGCCTTCTTGATTTGGCGCTCTGATGCTGATTTTGGCACACCTAAGATATCATAGTAGCTTTTTGAGGCCAGAATTAATTCTGTTATCATTAAAATGTAGATTGCAAAGATGAAAACTGACTGGGGAGTAGCCATTTCTAATACCCTAAAAGAAAAAAGAAAAAAAACTTTACCCAGTGAAACTAGGGGTACAAGGTATTCGTGATGCAGTATCAAACTGTTAAACATACAGTATCTTGGTCACATGTTATTCATTTATACAATTTCATAACTTCCAAATTGTCTTAACCTTGCTGAGCAAACAAAATCCAACTAAACTGAGAAAAGTCTTGGCTTTGTCTGTCCACCTACTCTGGCATACTCAAAGAAGACAAAAAATTTTCAATATCTGATTTTTTTAACCATTAATATTGAAGACTCATCATATGCAAGCATTGTTTTACAAAAAGTAGAAAATTCAAATATTTTTTTCAAGAATTCTTCAAGAATTCATAGGATAAAGGGGGTGAGGACATTACCAAGGTAAATATCCCAGTATGTCTAAATTAGTAGTAATCTTCCCTCCCTAAAAAATCACCAGTTCAGCTTTCATTTCAGCAAGGTGAGCCAAGAACTACGGAGAATCTTATGCTAACAATACTAATGCTGACAATAATAGAATGTGGTTTTTTTTCTTTTTTCCCCCAAATGTAAAAGCCCAGATGTTTAACAGAAGTTCTGTTTAAAACTCTTAATTAACACAATTTAAGATTTCTAAGGCTACCAGAAAAATAAACTTTGATAGTTTGTACTTTAGAGAAGTCAGATTCTTACTTTCAAACTTCTCAGTAGCTAAAATATTTCTCTTATCTTTAAACCATTAAATAAATTTTAACTTAGGATCTTAGCAACATGTTCTGAATGACTTAAGATTAAAATCGAGGTGACCCTGCTTTTTAAATACTGTACCACCAGGAGTCATTAGTCCTTAATAATCGATGATGACATAACAAGGCTGACGAAAAGACACTATGGGTTGTGGAAACCGCTGGCCTTCCTCTCCTGTGGCCCTTTCTGAGTGTAATTAGCAGGTGCATCGCTAGAGAGTTACTCATAGTCACGGGTACCAAGGATCAAGTATAATCTCTTGGTTTAAAGAGCAGAGACGGAGCGTGTCCTGGGGACGCTGCATCCACTGCAGGTCGCTCCCTAGTCAAAGGGCGGACCTGAAACTGACAGGGAGGCACCTTACTGGTGTAACGAATGTCATTCCACCGGATCCAGTGGAATATCTGAAAATCCTTCGGCCAACTAACTTTTGCACCATCTTGATTTCTCACCCCCAAGACAGACCCGCCGGCCAACAGCCTGGGCCTTACTCCCCAGCGCCGGCGGCCGGCTGGGCGGGACCACCCAAGCATCAAGGGCGACAAGCACACTCCCAGTCCGCCCAGGCCCCTCCGTGGGGGGGGGGGGGGCTCCCCTGCAGCCGGTAGTCTAGTCCTAGGTGGAGCTGTCCGACGCCCGGGAAAGCCAGAGGCAAAACCCCAAACACCAAACGCACTACTCTGGATTCAACTGTCTCCATCCCCCTATTCTCCTCGTCAAAAACATGCGGCGCGACGGCGACCACGGCGCACAACGAGGCCAAGTCGGCCCACAAAGACAGGCCTGGATTCCGAGGACGCTCCAAGCTCTCCTCCCCACGACCCCGGCGGCCTCATCCCTCACCCGCAACCTCCGGCTGCTGCTGCTCCACTGAGCGGAGGCGCCGCAGAGCCCGACGACGGGCTCGGTTTCGTCTGCCCAGACCCGGCTCCGCACCCCGGCCTCTGCGGCCTCCTGGAGCGGGCGCGCGCCCCACGGCAGCCCGCACACCGACCTCGCGTTCCTCCTCCGCCGCCTCCGACTGCCCTCAGAGCCTACACCCCACTGGCGGGCGGGCGGGCGGCTGCTCCTGGCGCCACCACCTCCGGAGAGGACCTACACGAAACGCTTCCCGATTGGCTGCCGCCTCCCCATCTGACCCCGGCGCCCTACGCGCACGTGGAAAACTGTTGTTGAGGCTCAGCCTGGGCGTCACTTCCGGCCCCAACCTCCGAGAAGGTGGCGCGGAAGCCCGCAGAGGCGGAAGTGAGTCCAAGGTTGAGGCGGCTTTCCCCGCTGGGCGGATCCTGGCGCAGGCGCAGTGGCTCGGGCAGCCTGAACCCGCGGCTCCGCCTTAGGGAGGAGGGCCGCCCTGCGCCCCTTGCTGGTCCGGGTCTCCCGGGGGCTCACCCGAGCGATGCCCCGCTATTGCGCAGCGATTTGCTGCAAGAACCGCCGGGGAAGAAACAATAAAGACCGGAAGCTGAGTTTTTACCCGTAAGTTGTCCCTGGAGCTGGAGCGTCAGCCTAGTGTTTGGGCCGCGGTCCTGTGGCCATCGGGCTTGGGAATCTCCTCCTGGCTCTGCAACTTGGTCCTCAGCTCACGTACCTGGTGGGTCACCGAGTGCAGGACGTGAAGGATGGCGTTCAGTGCACTTGGCAGAGTCCTTCCTGGGCGAGGGCGCGGGCTCGGGACGAGGCCTGTTTGGGTGTTCATCGAGCAGCTAAAACAGTAAAGTTTGCGCGGTGCTCTTTTCAGTCTTTCCCCCACCTCGCCTGATCTCATTTCAGTGAAACCCATTAGGCATCGTTTAAGATACTTCAAACCTGCGAAGTGGGAAGGTGCACTCATAGTTGGTTTACACCCCCTCTCCCCTAGCCCCGCTCCCGTAAGTTCAGTAGCAGAGGTAGAATTTAATCCTACTTTTCTCCTGAGGAAACCGAGTCCCAGAAAGATTAGGTAACCGACCTTGAACATTTTGTGTCAGAGCCAGAATTAATAAACTTGTCTTCTGCTCAGGGCTGTCTGTGCTCTTGATTGAGTCCTGATTTCTATTCATCAGAACAGGGACATGGGGTTGTATAATAATCGAGAGTCCAGGCTCCAAAGCCAGCCTTAGCGTAGGTTCAAATCCTGGTTTTACTACTTTGTAGCTCTGCAGTAAAAGGACTACGATATACAAATTTAGCTAAGCTTTTGTTTAACAGCAGAACAGAGAGTCTCTTCAAGTAAAAGAAAAAAAAGTGTTCTTTATAAATTTTATTGTAGCTAAATGTCTTTCTGCAAGTGATTTAATCTCTTGTTGCCTAAGATCTCATCTGTAATAGTAATTAATTCACACTTAGTATGTAAAGGGGTAAAACAGCATTTGCTTAATATACATTAAAAGTCTGTGAAAATCTACATGTTTAAAATATTCCAATTTCTATTTTCCTGTATTTAAAAACAGTCCATTTAGAACTAACCTGGTTGTCTTTTCCTTTCTTCGGATTTTCTACCAAAGTAAAATGAAGGGTATTTTACTTTAGACCTGAAGCGCTCATTCACAGATTCAGCTGCTTTCCATTATCTTAAGTAATGGGGGAAAAAACCTGATAACCCCAAGTAATTCACACCACTTGGCAATATTTCCAGGATTGTCTCCCTTGAAGCCCTTCATCAAGATTCAAACAGATATTGTGGGAGGGAAAAAAACCTAATCCAACTTCCATGATAGTGATATGCTGCTATACTAGTAGTCTATCTCTGAGAAGGTTGAGCTTGATTTAGCCCATATTTCCCAGATTTATTTGGCCCTTGATATGGGGTCATAACCTCGGACTAAAAAGAAAATTTTTTCCAAACTGTGGTTTCTGTCGCCGAGGCTGGAAGTGCAATGGCACTATCATAGTTCACCTCGACCTCTGGACTCAGGTGATCCTTCCACCTCAGCCTCCCTAGTAGCTGGGAGTACAAGCACGTGCCCTACACCTGGCTGACTTTTTTTTGTTTTTTGAGTCGGAGTCTCACTCTGTCTCCTAGGCTGGAATGAGGTGGCATGCTTCCGGCTACCGCAGCCTCTACCAGCTGAGCTCAGGAGATCCTTCCGACGCAGCCTTCCAAGTAGCTGGAACTACAGGCACGCTAGCCCGCCTTATTTTTTTATTTTTATCTTTTTGGGGTTTTTTGGGGGGAGTGGTGGGTGTTTTTGGTTTGTTTTTTGAGTCGGAGTCTCACTCTATGCCCAGGCTGGAGTGCAGTGGCAGGCTCACGGCCACCGTAGCCGCCACCTACTGGGCTCAGGAGATCCTTCCCCTTCAGCCTTTCAAGTAGCTGGAACTACGGACACGTGCCACCATGCCCAGCTAATATTTGATTTATTGTAGAGATGAGGTCTCGCCCAGTTACCCAGGCTGCTCTTCAACCCGTGGGTTCAGGTAGTCCTCTCACCTCGGCCTCCCAAAGTGCTGGGATTTCAGGCGTGAGCCACCGTGCCCGGCCTTATATTTTTATTTATTTTAGAGACAAGGTCTCACCAAGTTGCCCAGGCTGGTCTCCAACCTCTGAGCTCAGGCAGTCATCTCACCTTGGCCTCTCAAAGTGCTGGAATTACAAGCTAGAGCCACCACGCCCAGCCTCACCTGTCTGATTTTTTTTTTTTTTAATTTTGAGAGACGTGGTCTTGCTATGTTGCTTAGGCTGGTCGTGAACTCCTGGGCGCAAACAAAAGTACTGGGATTACAGGCATGAGCCACCATGCCTGGCCGAAAACTTTTAAAATTAATTTTTGTCTGTGGTCCTCACGGTTAACTTTTAAGAGAAAAAAAATGCCAAATGAATTACAAAGATTTTGTTCTCAAACTCTGAATTTAGCCAGAGTAGGAATTTTGTATTTGTATGAGTTCTGAAAATCTCATGTGTAATCCACAAAATAAAAACTGAATTCGTTTTATCCTCCAATAGCACAAAACTTGAAGTATTTGGATTTGCTCGTGTTAACAATGTATAGCCAGCTGTGGTATAAATTTATATGAATGAGGGAATTTAGTAATATAGACATATAATGCCTAGATTATTCTATGATTATCTTATGTTTTTCTGAGAACTATATAGGACGGTATAATAAATTGTCAAACAAATTGAAACAGTAAAAAAGTACTAAGTTATTCAGGAAACATATTCCAGGAGATTTCTTAGAGATTTACCTGTTGCAGCAAGGCAGTTCACTTACCAATAAGGATATTCACAAAGTGTAATTTTCTAATGATCTGATAACTTAGCATATAAGTATAATGGAAGTAATTTGTAAACAGCATTTTACACATGAATTTACACATAAAGCATTATTGTAAAAGGCATATTCTCATTTTAGATATAACAAAAAGTATGAATTTACCTATGGCTGACAGAATTCAGTTCCTCTAAAAAGAAAATTATCTTTCTTTTTAAATGCCTTTTCTGATTATACCCATCAGACGTACAGCCTAAATTACTGATATGTGCAAAGTTAAAATATTTTCAAAACATTTATTAAAATTGCTTCTATAGTGAGAACTTCCAAAGGTAGTTCATCTGATTTTTCCATGTAACAATATCAGGATTAAAAATTATTTTCTACAAAATACCCAGACTCTCCATATCATCTTATAAAGTTATCAAAATTTAGAAAAAAATAAAAAGCCATGCTACTACAAAGCATAAACTAAATAGTTGGGATTGGGAAGAAGGAATGCTACATTTTATGTGAAAAATTTGTATCATTACTGTTTTCAAAAAACAGGAAATTCTTGGACTCTTCTTAGAAAATGATCAAATGAAACAAAACTATCAACTACTGTTTAATACACTTTAACCCAAGCCTATTTAAACTAATAGGAAAAACTTTCTATCAAGTTCTGCCATTAGTACAGTTTTGCCTATAAAATATATTGGAATATGTTAGCACCAACTCTAAATCCAGATTATTGCCAGTGCAGGAAAAAAATGTATAGAGAGTTGTCTTGTTTTTCTGTCTTTTGTATTTGATTTGTCTTGTATAAAATATCTGAGTCTGTGCTTTTTAACATGTTTTGTTCCTTTCTTGCAGCAGAGTTTCAGAGCTTTTATTTTGGAGTTCCTAGTCCATTGGTTATAAAAGTATAGTAATATTAGATTAAATTATATGTGGGTAGGATTGAGTCTGATGCCAATAAAGAGAATAGTGAATATTTGTGAGTGTACATTTGATTCAGCTAAATCACTTGTTTGAAATAGTGTCCTTATTTTTAAAATACTAATATAAATAAGAACTTTAAGTTTTATATTGCCTTGAATTATAGACAGCAAATCATTTGACTTGTGATATTGGTATGAAATATACTAAGGGAACCCCAAAAAACAGAATTATCTTTTTGGAGGGCAATCCCTTTGCAATACAGGTTTTCCCCACTAGGTGTTCTCAGAACCAAATCAGTATCATTGTACCAGCTAGCATTGTTGTGAGAGGCTGCATTCAGCTTAGGGAATTTTGTTTTTTGGAGATTCTTTCAATGCGTTTGCCCATTACATGATGGGTCATTTACATGTACAACTTGCCTACACTGCACTAAGTGTTCAGTTTTTGACCAAATATGGCATGACCCCCATGCTCCACCCTCTCTGTCCACCTGATCTTTTCCTGAGCAACTTTTTTTTTGTTTCCCCGGGTGAAAAAAGTTCTCAAAGGAAAATGTTTTGCTCAAGTGGAAGAGGTGAAAAAGAAAACGGCAGAAGCACTAAAAGGCACCAAAATTGACAAGTTCAGAAATTGTTTTGAGCAGCATAAAAGGTTTCTCAAAAGGTGTATTGCATCAAGCGGAGAGTACTTTGAAGGTGACTGAAGTTTTAACATGTAAGAATAAACACACAATTTTTTATAAATTCCAGTTTTTTGGGGAATCCCCCCTCATATTTTAGTGGAAATTTGTGATTTTTACAAAGGTCTTTCCCAGGCAAAATACAACAAAGTTAAAATGGAACATAATCCATATAAAATATGAACAGATTTTATAATTTATAAGAACAATTTGTTTTTACTTGAAGGGACTCTAAATTCTGTTGAGCTCTTCTCAGACAGAAGCTTGGCTAAATGTCTTGTATCTTAGTCTTTACTGCAGAAACGATATGGTTGTAGTTGTCATGAAGATGCTCTTATCTGGTCAGGATGGTTGCTTTGCTTTTGTAGCATTTGATGCATACGCTACCAAGATATGTAGGCATGGAATCTGACAGAATTGTAAAAATGTGGCAAAGCTTTCCCTTCTTTTTTTTCTCTTCTTTTTTTAATTTCAGGTTTCCACTACATGACAAAGAAAGACTTGAAAAGTGGTTAAAGAATATGAAGCGAGATTCATGGGTTCCCAGTAAATACCAGTTCCTGTGTAGTGACCATTTTACTCCTGACTCACTTGACATCAGATGGGGTATTCGATATTTAAAACAAACTGCAGTTCCTACAATATTTTCTTTGCCTGAAGACAATCAGGTATTGGAATAGGGAGAGGGGAAATGCCAGATAGGGTGGCAGGTAATCAGGTGGAGAGAGAGAGAGGGAGAGATAACTTGGGAAAATAGATATTTGAGAAAAAGAACATTAACTTGTGCTTTTACTAAAAGTGTGATAATTTTTTTAAAATGTAAACTGTCATTAAGCACAGCTTAAGAGAGCAAAAGATACATATATTGTTAACATAAGTTAATGAGATAAGATTCTACTAGTTTTTTGAAAGTTCTAAAATATTTCTGTTTTATATATATATATATATTTTTTTTTTTTTTTTCTTTTTCTTTTTTTGAGTTGGAGTCTCACTCTTGTCGCCCAGACTGTAATGCAGTGGCACACTCCCAGCCACCGCAGCCTCGACCTGCTGGGCTCCGGCGATCATTCTGTCTCAGCCTTCCAAGTAGCTGGGACTACAGGCGTCCACTACCACGCCCGGCTAATTTTTTTGATTTATTGTAGAGATGAGGTCTTGCCAGGTTGCCCAGGCGGGTCTCAAACCCACGGGCTCAGGCAATTCATTCACCTTGGCCTCCCAAAGCATGGGATTACAGGCTGAGCCACCGAGCCCGGCCTGTTATATATTAAATGAGGTTAATGCTTTTTTAAAACACTTTAAGGCATATTTAAGTTGTCATATACCCTGAACATTTTTAAACTGAATAAATTTGCTTGGCCAGTATACTGTTCAAAGTTATAATTAAATAGCACTAACTAATAAGAAAATAAGCCTATAAAGGATATTTTTTTTAGAATTTGAAAATATTATTTTCTAGGGAAAAGAGCCTTCTAAAAAAAAATTCCAAAAGAAAAAATTGGAAGATGAGAAAGAAGTATGCCTAAAAGCCAAGTCAGAAGAATCATTTGCATTAAATGAGGCAAAGAGAAATACAGTTAACATGAATGTGCTCCCTGAAAGTGCAGAATTACTTGGTTCATCTGCCTTTGTGAAGCCATCAGCTGCAAAAACAGGATGTATACAGAATAACTCAGTAACTCTTAGTCTAGTTAAACAAGATATCAGAAAACCAGAATCTTTCTTGGAAACATCAGTTAACCAAGATAAATGTATAGGTGATCTTCACACATCTTTCGAGAACCTAAATTCTACAACTGTTAATTTTACTACTTCAAATTCAGAAGGTATTCAACAATCTTTGGAAACCCAAGAAGTACTTGAAATAACTACCAATCATCTTGCTAATCCAAACTTTACAAATAATTTCATGGAAATTAAGTCAGCACAGGAAAATCCATTCTTTTTCAGCTCAATTAATCAGACAGTTGAAGAATTAAATACAAATAAAGAATCCATTATTGCCATTTTTGTACCTGCAGAAAATTCTAAACCTACAGTTAATTCTTTTATATCTACCCAAAAAGAAGCCATAGAAATGGAAGATATAGACATTGAAGACTACTTACATAAGGATGCAGACTATGGGACAGAAGTTTTACAGATTGAACATTCTTACTGCCGACAAGACATAAATAAGGAACATCTTTGGCAGAAAGTCTCTAAGCTACACTCAAAGATAACTCTTCTTGAGCTACAAGAGCAGCAAACCCTGGGAAGATTGAAGTCTTTGGAAGCTCTTATAAGGCAGCTGAAGCAGGAAAGCTGGTTATCTGAAGAAAATGTCAAGGTTATAGAAAACCATTTTACAACATATGAAGTCACTATGCTATAGAGTAGATATTTTAAGCTATTACTGTTATATAAGCACTTTCCAGACAAACCAAATTATATGTAAAGTGGACTTTTTCTTGTATAAAATTCTTAACTTAATGAACCTATGATAGTGTTCTAATGTGATCTGCATTCCGTTCTTGTAATCTTCATTTTTTAGAAAAATTGGAGAGTTGGACTGGAGAGGAAAATGGTTTTATTACTTGATAATTTTCCAAATTAAAGGTAAAATGCAGTGAATGAATAGTGTGATTCAGTGCTAACATGAGAGTACAAAGATTTGGTCAAAAAAGCCCAAATAGAAGTCAGGCCCAGGAGTCAATCCTAGTTCTATTATTGGCATATGACTTGAGGACGTTACTTATCAAGTTTGCGCCTTAGTCAATAATCTATAAACTAAAAGCACTTAACTAGATCTCTGATAACGTTTCTTTATAGTTTCTTCTCTCTCTGTTAAGATGCTTTTATTAGAATAGGTTTTCTATAAGATAATATATGCTTACATAATACTAAGTGTTAGTTAAAATTGGATGATGTTAACTTTTGGAATATCCTCAATATTTATTAAATTCTGTATTGTTTGATCTTTCGGCCATAGAATCTGTAATATAAAGGAAGATATACCCTTTATAATTTTATTCTAGTTGAACTAAACTAAGGAACCACCTATTAAGCCAGTTCTTAGGACAGGTACTTCACAGTTGAAGGAATATGTATTTCATTACTTTATATGTAGCTAATCATAATACATGGTCATTTAAGCTTCTTAACATTCTGTATATAGTTATAAACCAAAAATTTTAATGAGGCTAATTTTAAATACACATATTTTAGAAATAATAGTTCCTGTTTCTTAATAGATGTAGCTTTTAAACTGCTTGAGCCATTTTTTAATTTCAAAATCAGGGTGATGCTTAATACTATACATTCCCACTTATGTATATTTTATTAAAACTTATAAGAAATTAATGATAAATGGCAATGACCTTAGGGAGACAAAGGTTCTCTAAAGAGAGACAAATGATGATGATATAAATAAAAATGCTGCTTCTATCTACACAGATTTAAGAAAAATATAAAATCAAAGACTTTGTGGTAACAACACAAATGTGAAAATAGATGTTTCCTTAAAATTGAAGACAATATGATATGTTACTACCCATGGTGCTGAGCAAGTTTCTATTGGTCTGATTCTTAAGTTTTCTCATCTACTAAATAGAAAATACCCTTATCAGTCTGAAAGGATGGTTTTGAAAATCCTGTAAGGTAACATGTTTTTGGTCCTGGAAAATAGGAGGTGCTCAATAAATATTAGTTAACACTGAGCTGCGAATAATATGCTAATTGTTTTGTAAATGCATGATGATTTTGGGGGGCTATATTTCACATAGTTTCTTCAGGCTAATAAAATTAATTGCTATTATATGAAAGTGTGTCAGCTTATTACAAAAAGTGTAGATGTGTCTTTATTAGGTGACCCTGGGGGAGAAAATTAAAATTTTTGCACAAATTATGTGCGGATAATTGGTAGAGTTAATACAATGTTAATTTTTTTTTCTTTTGAGTTGGGGTCTCACTCTGTCACCCAGGCTGGCATGAAATGACACAGTCATGGCTCACAGCCTTGTCCTCTTGGGGTTAGCCTTCTGTCTCAGGCTGCTGAGTAGCAGGGACTACAGGTACACACCAACATGTGAGGCTCATTATTTTTTTGTAGAGACGAGACTGGTCTTGAACTTCTTGGCTCAAGCAATTCTCCTGCCTCGGCTTCCCATGCTGGAATGAGCCACCATGCCCAGTAATAATGTTATTACGTATTTCTTTGTTGCATTTTGCTAATACTTAATTTAAAATCAGTAATATAGATGAAAGTAACTGAGTCACAAAAAGTAATATGTTATTTCAACTCAGATTTTAGCAGTGTACGTCAAATTTTTCTATGTATTTGAAGTGAAAGTTTCCTCAAGAATAATTTAAACTAGCTATATTTCTTTAAACTTAAGAAATTATAAGTACAGGTTGAGCATCTCTTATCTGAAAATTTGAAATGCTCCAAAATCTGAAACTTTTACAAGGATGATATGTCCTACGAAATACATGCTCATAGAACATTTCAGATTTTCAGATTTGGGATGCTCAACCATTAAGTGTAGTGTAAATATTCTAAAATCTGAAAAACAACACTGTATTCCCCTCCATCCTTACTCTGATGCTGTGAACTAGCAAAATAATTTTCCTGTCAAACTTTTAACATCGTTGCTCTCCCCTCTTTTATTTTTGAGTTGGAGTCTCGCTCGGTCGCCCAGACTGGAGTGCGGTGGCCGCTCCCGGCCACCGCAGCTGCCTGCTGGGCTCTGGCGATCCTTCCGCCTCAGCCTTCCAAGTAACTGGAATTACAGGCATGCGCTACCACTCCCGGCTGATTTTTTGATTAATTGTAGAGATGAGGTCTCGCTGCCCAGGCGGGTCTCGAACCCACGGGCTCAGGCAATCCACTCACCTCAGCTTCCCAAAGGTGCAGGATTACAGGCTGAGCCACCAAGCCCGGCCCCCCCCCTTTATTCTTTAACTCAGATACTGTTTTGCCTTTCGTTCGCTTACATCAGAACAACTAGCTAGAGAAAAATCACATAATTGGGCATACTTAATTCTAAATTCACGACGACAGACCTCAAATGGGCCCAGCAGTGTTCATGTAAGTTCATAGTACCACTCTCACATTCTCCCTCACACTCCTTCCTTAACCCCCTGCCCCTCCCTCCTACTTGCCAAAGCTGAGGATCTCATCACATGCTTCAGTGAGAAAATCAAAACTATCAAAAACGCTCCTTCCTGTGGAGTGAATTGTGTCCCCCACCCCCCAGGTAAAATTTATGTTGAATCCCTAACCTGCAAGGTGATTTTTGGAGGTGGGGCCTTTAAGGAATTAAAGTTAAATGAGGTCATAAGGGTAGGGCTCTTACCAGAACCTCAGCATATTGACATCCTGATATCAGACATCTGGCCTCCAAAACTGAGAAAATAAGTTCCTGTTGTTTAAACCACCCAGTTAAGGTATTTTTGTTATGGCAGCCTGTGCTGGCTAAGACATTCCTATAGTCCAAAACAATGAAGTATACAATAGTTAAAATGAACACCCAAACTATGCAAAAAAGTTAAGTTGCCAAAGACTTGATTGCAGTCTATTAACTAAAATTCTAAAATATAAAAATAGTAATATACATTGCATATATATGTGTGTATGTATCTATATAGTTACAAAATAAAAGCAACTTGACTTCAGGACAATGATGACCTCTGAGGAGGTAAGAAGTGGCATTATGATGGACAGATTTTATGTTTCATTTATATAAAAAGAAAAGGGAGCTAAGTTAAAGTCAAAAATATCCATTTAAACTAAATGATCAATACACATCTGCTTTATTCTATGTTTAAAATGTTTCAGGGTTTAAAATTACATATTTTAGTTAAACTAACAAAAGAGTTTGAAGTTAAAGGCCATCTATGCTTACACTTCATTCTAATGGTTTTGTTATGATTGTTACCTGTTTTAAGACCACTTGAGAGAAAGAGCTGGGTGGAGGGAGGTTACAGTGAAAGAGTTGATGATTTTAAATATACTTGTATTTGAAGTTAGGCACTGTGGTACATAGAATAATCTGCCCCTCCCCCTGCAAAAATTTCCACAGCCTGGTCTCTAGAACCTATGAATGTCACCTTATAAGATAAAAGGCACTGCAGTTGTAATTAAGGTTACAGACCCTGAGATGAGAAGATTATGCTGGATTATGTGTGTGTACCCAGTGTAATCATGAGTCCTTAAAAGAATCTTTTCCAGACAGAGAGATGTAATTGAGGACTCAAACTTGCTGGCTTTGGACATGGAGAAAGGCCACAGTGTTACTGCATTTATTTCTCTAGAAAGTTCATAGTACCACTCTCAAATTCTACCTCACACTCCTCTGTTACTTCTCTGCTCCTCGCTCCTACTGGTCCAAGCTAAGGATCTCATCACATGCTTCAGTGAGAAAATCAAAACAATCATAAACACTCCTTACTATGGAGTGCATTGTGTCCCTCCCCCAAAGAAAATTTATATGTTGAAACCTTAACCCGCAAAGTGCTTTTTGGAGGTAGGACCTTTAAGGAATTAAGGTTAAATGAGCGCTTTCTCCCCAAATATTAGGGCTCTTGTGGTTGCAAGAAACAAGCCAAGGAACTCGACAGCCTCTAGAAGGTGAAACAGCTCTCCATTTATAGCCAGCAAGAAAATGATGACTTCGATCCTACAACCACAAGGAACTGAATTTTTCAACAGTCTGAATAAGCAGGAAACAGATTATTCCCTAGAGCCTCTAGGAAGGAACACGACCTACCAATACCTTGATTTTAGTCTATTGAGACCCTTACCCAACTTCTAACCAATAGAACAATAAGATAGTAAATTTATGTTGTTTTAAGCAACTTCGTTTGTGGTAATTGTTAATGGCAGCAATATGAAAGTAACAGGTACTTAATCTATATGAGATTTAGCTTGCCTTTATTTCGCTCAAGTCTTTTTCCCAACATGTTGAAAGAGTACAGTCCACATTATCCTGTTACTTAATTCATTGAAGACTCAGCTTTCTTATGAAAAAGTAATTAATGCTTTATTCAGAGACTATTTAATAACATCACATATGAGAAAGTACTTTGCAAACCCAAAGGCTATTAACATTGTTTGATTTCCCTTTTGTAGTGGCCTTAGACTAAAACCAAAAATCGTTTTCATATTCCTATATTCATTCATTGAGGCTAATGTATACAGAGTACAGGATTTTTTTGCTCCCCTCATGAGAACGAGAAAGCATCATTGCTCAATAATTTGCTTCTGTGGAAACCCATAATCATGATCAAGGTAAGAGAACCAGCTAGTGAAGTTCAACTCTTGTCACCTAAGGTAAAATAAGCCACAGATTTGCTCCTAAAACATGGATTCTGAAATTCAAAGATTTCCTAGGACATGGAGTAAAAAAGTCTTTAGAAGTTTGTGAACCTCCTGAAAATTACAATGAGTATTCCTCAAAATCTATATGGAAAAAAGTAAGGGTAGATGAGATGTATAAAAGGACGAGAAGGAGGAGGGAGAGTAGATGAGTGGGTTGATAGGTGGATGGATAGATGGATATATAAATACGGGGAATTTACACTTCGCTTTTTTGTTTGACAAATGTGCTTCCCTAAGCATTAGCCAGAGTTCAAGCCTGTGAAGGAAAAATCAAGTGAGGGTTCTTCTACAATCGCCTCAACCTCCAGGAGCAGAACAAGAAATCCCCCCTGTGAACCAAGACTCTGGATTCCTTACCCCCATCTCAGTAAATAAGAAACCCTCATCAGGTATAGGATGTCAGGAACCACGTCAGTGTTTGTCACCAAATCCAGATTTGGGGCAAGAAAAAAGATATTACCATAGCACTTTCTCCCCTAATGTAAGTGTGTTTCTACCAACAGATGCATTCATTCTCACCTTTGCCATGGCACGTGTCTATTTCAGTTCATGACTGAAGCAACTCTTTAGTAGTGCAGGAGAGGACCTGAGTTAGAGCTTTTGTGGTTGCAAGGAACAGAAAATCAGTCTAGCTCAGGAAAGGTCACAAGGAAGAGCAGAATTGAAAGGCTGACATGAGGATCTCTCAGGAATCCAAAGACAGAAGCTACAGTACAGTTGTGCCCCATGGTGATTGGCATGGAGGCTTCCTCATGGCATCTGTCTCCTGAATGGTATCAGATCCATTCTCTCCCAGCTAAACCTTATCATCTCAGTTTATAAACAGGCCCCTAGGTCTTTCTACATTATGAAACTTCAGCTTTCAGGTCACATTATTAATTAGCTCATTCAGCTTTTTAATTTCAAATTCCCAAGAGAGGAATCCAATGGACCCAGCTTATATTTTTCTTATTTGTTTATTTATTTTTTAGAATAGGAGTCTCACTGTCACTCAGGCTGGAGTGCAGTGGCACAAATCATAGTTCACTGCAGCCTCCAACTCCTGGGTCCGAGCAATCTTCCTGCATCAGCCTCCCATGTAGGTGGGACTACAGGCATACACCACCACACCTGGCTAATTTTTAATTTTTTTTAGAGATGGGAATCTTGCCACATTGCCCAGGCTGGTTCAAACTCCTGACCTCAAGCAATCCTCTCACCTTGGCCTCCCAAAGCTCTAGGATTGCAGATGTGAGCCACCACACGCAGCCCCAGCCTATATTGTAAAGCCAGTGAGACTCTGGTAAACTTACGAATTGTCATCCCTTGATCGGGTCTTGTGACCTGCAGTTGCATCCAATTAATAGGGTGGAGAAGGGTCATGGATATAGAATAGAGCCCATGCTACCTGAGACCAGCTTTGCAAAGGAGTAATTCTCTTTGAAAAAGACATGGGTGGGTAGG